GTTAGTTTGGAACCCAGGTTTTTAGTCAATTCCTCTGAGCGATCTGCCAGTGGTTCACTGATCTCGTTAGAGACTTGGATGTTGGTCTTTTATCTCATCAATTTCGCACGTAAAACAGTAATAAGGACATCCTCAGCAGAGGATTTTGAGACGCTTATTTGAAATCCAAGGTACTCAGGAGATATTCCCAACTATATGCTGCCAGGCGATACCTCGAGTCATAATTAGGGCGATGTCCTCACCGAGGGTTAATTTCAAATAAAGCATGATCCCCTGTGACAAATAAGCAGTCACAAACAAATGGCAGAGATATGGAGAGTGATAGATTGATTAATCATCTCTCGACAAAATGCATGATCCCAACGATTGTTCCGTGACAAAGATTGGTGTCACGGGCAGCTCAAAAATACAGTCACTGGTTCCCTTATACGCGAGGCAAAGTTGAAACGGAAACGGATAGTCGTGTTATCATTCGCTGACATCCAGAATCATGAGGAATCTACACTATCGCAGTCGGCATCGTAGGAACCAGCTGTCACTCGTCCCTTTCCCTCATGACTGCCACATGGACGTAGAAACCACTTTAGTCACCGACTCTCGTTAAACTATAGCTCCCCATGCTGTTATGCAGCTAGTTGTGTTTATGTGTGTTTGCAATTGGACTGGACCGACCTCAACAGACAGGGTCCGGTTTCTCTACATTAGCAACAAGACTTCGATAAACGGACACCAGTGATGAGGAGTGCTGGAAGCAAACCACAAAGTATAGGTTAATTTTTAGTGCATACAATACTGTTATATACGTTCGGAGCAAAGTCAAACATAATGCTCGTGGATGGAACAAATATACCGAATAACGAAACGACCAGGAAACAAAACAGAGGAAAGCATCTCTTATCTATTCAAGCAGAGTAAAATGGAGCATGAACAGGAAATCTGATATTAATTTTAGGTAATCGACAACAACTGTGGGATACGAAGAGCAAGTTACAACGAAGAAGTGAGAAGATACTATAGCCACAAAGTATTATTTTCAACAATGATAATTTATCGATCACTGCAACTAGGAAACATACAGAAACATAAAGCAAGCTGTAAACTCACTTACCGTATTCACGAACTTGTTTCAAACCCCATGCCGGTGGCTCCGAGAAAGGAGCACGAAGATCACGGGCCACAATATAGTTACCCGCAGTGGCATATGCAATCAAATTGGCATCTCCTCCCCCTCCGTTAGACAAACCTGGGCGTAACAGAGTGAGTTGCGCCGGAAATTGGGTAGTAGCAGATGCAGTCAAACAGAGTGCACGTCCATGAGTTTTGTGGGCCAGACTGTTTAAGCTACATTGGCGTCCAGTAGCCACGTCAACACAGTGTATCCAATCGCCTCGGGTGATAGTGGCTACCTGAGATCCCCCTGCAGTCCAAACAAGACCCTGAAAATCACAGTGTGACTGCTGGTGACGAAATTGCAGCGGTTAAGGTCAGAAAAACTATCAGAGCAATAAAGCTAAACTAATTGAATGAAACAGAAGCAAAATTGAGATTCCATACGGGGATCAGAAAAACAAGGCGAACGCCGGATTAGGTACCATATTTGGTTGCAGTGGTAAAACGACTAGGACAAGCAACATGCTCATTAGGCGGTTGTGTCATTGAGTCCCAATACCAACGACTGCAGATTCCACACATACATGCCCCCGAGCTACCTTTGATCAGCTGTGCCCTCGCCTCTGAGAATTGACTGTGGCATCGTGTATTCCATAAAAAAACGAGCTATGATTATCGCTAATAAATGGAAAATTATTGGGGTGCATTACAACCGCATATGTTCATCGGACGACTGGATACAAAAACTTAATCAACCAGAATACTGGTGGAGAATCAAGATGAACTGTTCCCAGAGAGCCGATGTGGTGAAACTCAAAATATTCCTATCAATCTGGTTAATGGACGATAGACCGTTGTAGGTGGAAGGTTAGGCCCAAGCGACACATTCTGGGTAGAAATCATTTCTCAGGCGCTTTCAACAAAACTTTAGTAGAATTCTAATTGCTTTTATTGATCAATGGGATTTCCGGTTCACGGAATATTCTGCAATCTCGTCTCACCAAAAGTAATGTAATGCTGATGCACTGGTAATTGTCTTGCACAACTGTGAAATAGGAGTCCAATAGTAATTTGGTTGGACAAAGCCTTCCAATGTTTAAACAGTCCCACAGAGCTCATAATGAGAACACAGACTGGCAAATAAGCTCGTTTTCAGTGTGTCTTAATCATGCCATTACAACACAATAAACATGACTAGTAACAGAGAAGGATTTGCAAGGAAAAAGGGGAAAGTAATTAAAGTATTCAACAGTTTGTTTCAGCGGAGACAGTTTCCATCCGTGTTCACAACCTTCCTCTGCGCGCTCAGAAACAATTTGTGCAAGCACTCAAGCTCCCATGCCGGTTTGCCGACAAGTGACCTGTTATGAAACACCGGAGCAAGTGATAATTGGGGACCAATTATGAAACAAACTGTTGAATACTTTANTCTGTTACTAGTCATGTTTATTGTGTTGTAATGGCATGATTAAGACACACTGAAAACGAGCTTATTTACCAATTTGTATTCTCTTTAAATGCCTTCCAACTGGAATCGAAGATACAGATCCGGAGAGATTTAATTGGTTTCGTGAAACTCGGGGTGATGTGTTGGCATGCATAGGAATATTATATATCAGAACAAAAAAACAGACCGGTATTTACCCTAATCTATTCGGAGGCTAGATAAAACGTCACCTATAAGTAATGCGACGGAGGACGAAAAACAACGGTGTGCAAAAGTGCACGGCACGTTCACCTAAAAGGTTAGTGGAAGAGTGTTTAATATACTACCAAGTCAGGTACACTTTCTGGGGCCTTTTCCTTTTGGACCAATATTGGTAACTAGTGAATCATGCTAGAGAGGGTCCCCAGCCTCGTAAAGCGTACTGTAAATGAGACTGTTCACCTCTCCCTTATACCTCGCGAAATGCTTCCATACGACTAAGCGTCTCTAACAGTATCTGCTGAGAAAGCTACATTAACTGTTTTTTCGTGGTGAAGGTGTTTTCCCACCAAAATCAGAGGCTAAAGTAAGTGGCTAAATACCCTGATTCCAAAATAACCAAGAAGAGGTGTACGAATCACATCCACCCACACCTTTCCCGGTTGTGGAGGTGGTCTCCGGCTCAATTGGGCATCCAGGTGTATTGGGTACCTTGGGCGTATGATCCGATGAACCGGACACCGGGTTCCAATGGATTGTGAATTCACACAACGTCCTGCAGCTTTATGAGTCCGGCTTTCGTTAACCGAAGGATCCGGTTGCCAATGCCCTAAGAAAATTGACCCCTTTGGCTCGGGCATTAAACAGTATCGCATCCGCGAGCAAATCAGGATGATTTTTCTTTTTATAAAGATTATTGTGCTGTCATATGTTTGGCACACAGTCTGGACTCAGGTGTGGCAGAAATAAAAAAATATTAATATCGCACTACAAACAAGTGAAATGTTTTGTACTGTAAACGAAGAACATAAATGAATTGTTGTACCCTCGTATTTGTGACTTCTTTCCGTTTCTTTTTCAATTGAATGAGCGAAACCCATTGTTTCAAAGACAACAACATGGCCTATTTGGAAGGAGCTTATTTCGATAGGCATAATGGTTCGCATCAAACTGAGATTTCCAGGTTTGTAAACTTAACATAATATGAATAACAGGTAGCCGGGACTCACTCGACAAACTTTCGATGATATTTCCGAATCAGAAGTCTGCGTGCAGTATGTCCATGATGAACGAGTAGGTAAGCTGTAGATCTGAGTGAATCCTGCTGGTTTCGACCCGTTTCTGGAGCCGGATTCACCAATTAGCGATGAAGTTGGAGTGTTCTGATTCAAATAACCGTCAGCATCAACAGGCCATAGACCGCAATTCCACAGTTTTACCGTGCCATCACCCGCGGAACACGATACCATTAGTCTACCAGAACCATGAACAGCCAAGCTACATGATGAACCGTTGAAAGAGAGGGAGAAGTGAGATGAGAGAGGAATATTTCGAATAGTTGTGCGAACAACATTCGTAGTGCATTATGACAAGAGTCATAACAACGAAATGTGATACAGGAAAACGAATGTCCCGTGACATTAATTTGTAGAACGAGAGTAGACTTTCGACAGATAAAATTTTCAATCAATAGCGGCGATAAAAAGCATTTGATAGTGCTGACTCCACCAGTATTACACGATGGCTCGGAAAGACGTTCGCTAAATAGGTCAGTGAAAACAATCTTATTATAGCTACAAGCAAATGTTGCTATCTTTCGGTTTTGGTTAGATTTTGATGTTTGCTGTCGTTTCATTATATCACTGGACTAATAAATGTAACAAATAGATCTGTCTTTTTCACACGTAGAACAATGAAATAATTTCCTTAAACGAAACAGAAATCTTATTCATGATAAGTGATGGAAACATTTGAAAGGATAGGATAGACGTAGTAATTCTCCGTGAAACAACAACACAGATTTCCGTCACCTAAGTTGGATGGTTGTTGCAGAGTTCGAAACCCACACCTAGAAAAAATTATAAATGTTGAAAACAAGCGCATCAACTACTGACATTACCCACAGAGAAAAAAAAGACAGAAAAAGAAGACTCTACTCCCAGAAGAGATGTTGGATTTAATACCATGACTGCAGTGAAAAAACCTAAAATGTTAATGGTTTCAGTTTCAGTTTCCACAACCATTAACCATGCACTATAATGCGCCGGCTTTGGTTGCTGTCTTTTGGTTGCCCATTTGGATGAACATAAGGAGAAAGACAGGAAAGGTTGAAAGTAGCATCGAAGAGAAAATTTAGGATTTCATCGCACTAATTTTGCAGAGAAATCGACACCCATGTGAATGGTCCTTTTTCTAACTTAAAATAATGCATGAGGGGAAAATAATAGAAGCAGTGGATGAAAAAACTGTGCCGCAATCAGGGAAAAATATTTGATGGATTATGATTTGATTTTGCATCGGCAACATAAAAGGTCATGAAGAGTCACATTGTTCAATGAGAGATCTTATTGCAAACAGGACTGAAGTCAACGAAATATGAAGTATGTTCCACTTGAACTGCATATGAATTTACGGATATCAGCTTCGGAGTAACGTTGTTTTTTTTATGAAGGGCCTACTCTATGGAAATCCATTGCTGTTCAATGATTTGTTTTAGAACAAACCTAACGGGATATTGCAGTGCACCACTTCAAGTGCCGGGGATTAAGTTGCTGGTTTTTATAACTGAATAGCAGCTCTACGCGACTATGAGGTCCGCCCCGTCTGTTGTTGATAAAAAAGTCCAGAGCATTATATTTCGGTAATTCCTGCTCAAGCCGTTAACAGATTACACAGATAACACAAGAAAGCATATCGCACAGTTAGGCACGACGCCAATCAAGGGTAAGTTTATCACGGTGAAATTACTTTCGTCATTTCTTTGATTTAACCCTGTGACCAAAACCTAGTTAAAACCAAACTGCTCTTACTCACGATTAGTGTTGCCTTACTAGATGATCTGCCTTCTAGTGCTAGGCGTGCCGTCTGTGGGAACGGTTTGGAAACAAATATTGAAAAGATAATTATTTGGCCAAACTATGTTTGTTCTAAATGCTTTGATAGACATCTTTCTGACAATTTTGTTCTAAGGTCAACAAGAACAGCTATTGTATTCACGTTGAGAAACATCAACAGTACAGCAAATTCTTTGTTTCTGGCGAGACTAAAGCAATTCACTTACCTACAGCATTCCGTGCACTTCAATAACAGTGAAGTCACTGATTACAGACATTTAGACAGTGACCGACAACAGTACTGCACAGAGATTACTGAGAGCAACATGTAAACAAATAAGTTATCACTAATGAAACAATCAATGCATAAACGAAACGTCAAATAAAACAGGTGAAAGATAACCTTGAATAATGGCAAGAAAGAGTACATAAAGCTGGCTTCCATAAACTAAATTCCTTACGGAATCGGAAGAATTACCTACAGCTAGTGAATATGATCTTATGAATGGATACATAAGGCCGAATTTATTTTCTCATGCCACGAAACACTAACCTGATCATTCCAGCTTGGTGTTCATGTAGATGGGCCACCAATGTACCCTGCGGAGTAGCATCTAACGCACCAAGATCAGCAATGCCGTGAACATGAGATTTTGCCTCGGAACCGGAGGAGTATCGCTCGCCAAAATAAGTCAGTCCGTCTACTGGATCGTACGCAGTGGCTATGGCCGTTCGGCGCAGTGTTCCACCAGCAGAGGTGCCCGTTTCAATAGAATCTACCGAACTGAGAGCAGTGTTTGTCAGTATAGTACGCCAACTTAGTCCTCGACCAAACATTCGACGTTCAGACAATGTTGGATCTGAAGACGGGTTGAGAGGAATGCTGCCAGAACGTAGTTTATTTCGCAAACTTTGCTCATATTCCATGATGGGGGACTGTGATAGCCTTGAGACAAAAAGGGTAAAAAACAATGCTTGCATCTACTTTTTGATATGGATCCAGTACACACAATTACCAAAAACCACTCAATAAAAACTTCGTAACATCAAAAACCCCGAAATGAAGAAGCTTAATTACACGATAAACTGGTGAAATGGTTCACAAAATCTGTCAATAAAACAATACATACTGGTAGCCATTGATCAAGAATCGGGGAACAGATAGATTAATTGAGAAAGCATCAGAACCCATGCTTTCAAACAAAGTACGCTCTACCAGCTGAGCCACTAGGCCACGCAGAAAGCTTGGGACGTTTTTAAACTAACCACCCACCAAACCTACAGAGGAACATGAAATACGCCAATTACCATGAAAGCTGTTGATCCCGACGGCTTTTCCTAGAAGCGATCGCGATCTTCCAGATGAAATCTACGGTCGAGATGAAAGATTCATATAATGTAATCCTGATAGCCAATCGCCTCGTTTTAATTTTGAAAAGATCGCAAAAAAAAGCATACCACGTAGATCTGAGAGATTCTATTCTGAATGCTCTTCAGGCGAGGATTCGCATGATATAAAATACCATCGGACCACAATAAAGATCTCAGCGAGACACAGATAATGTAATGATGAATTAACTTATTTTGTGAGGAGAATATCAGAAGCGAAGCTGAAGAAATCGGCATTGGTGTCTAGACCAGCATGAAGAATTTGAAACACGGATGAAGAAAATATCCGTCAAAATGGTGCAACACAAAAGACTAGATAAGTCTACACGAATGCTTCATAGTGGAAACTATAAGGTAGACAGCTGAAACTCACAGTTCGGGTTGAAATCGAAAACGTCTGAATTAAAAGTGCATGCAATGCTTGTTGAGTTTGTATTTTGTTCTAAATGTAAATGAGAGCAATTACAGAGATCAATTCGATACTTTATACCGGTTACCGACTGAAATCATTCTGTCATGTTTTGCGTGCATCAGATATGATGATGTCCTACTGCTACACGGTTCGAGGAAAGCACAGAAGTGGATCACTAATTTCCTTTCAATAGTTGCATTTCATTTTATGAGGAGTGAATCTGTCAGAATTTAAACAAAGATATTGTAAATTGGTTTGGCATATTCCAAAATGAATCATCTCTTAGCACCGAGGTTTAGGTCGAGGTGCAGAGATGTCACAAATCAAACAAGAGGTCTATCAGCTGTAACAAACGGTAGCTTGATGATGATGAGGTGCAAGGGCTTTGCTCGGGATACTGATTCGACTGAGACACGCGCGCGGGAGGAAATGCTTTCTATACCAAGTAGGGCAGGAGGTTGAAGACAGCAGGAAAAATATCACGCCCAATAATAGTGAATTCTACGGTTGACAATATGAAAATGCAACACGAAGCGTCAAGAATTGTATTGTGTATAACTTTTGCAAGCACTAGTGCTTCCATTTCAGTTAAAAAATCATACACGCTAACCGTCACAATGTACATAATCAACGGGGAGAGAGGTTNGAGAAAAGTTTTTACAGGCATGGGGACATTTCATAATCCAAGGTTAAGACGAAGTTTACTTATTGTCCGTTCTTTGTTTATGAGCAGACGAGCAAGATACGGTATGGGTGAATTGCGGTATGCGTTAACTCGAGATGAAATTTAGCGGAATTGGGAGCGTGTTGAATGATGGGAACCACAAACTGTCAGTTCCGCAATCAATGGGTGGTCAGGATCTGTAAAAATCTTCTCAGCAAATTTCACACAGGAAGTTACGTGACACTCTGAAAGCTTTACAGCTAATTCATTCACAGGAATAGAAGAGACACGACTAATAATGGTTAGACCGCGCCGCAGTTTACCAATGCAGTTGTGGATGTGGGTTGACCAATGAAGATTGTTATTTGTGGTTACATCAAGATATTTGACAGAGTTCACCCTGGATAAAGGATTGTTATTCCTCACTGTGGGTCTGTCGGATATGGGGAGCGAGCAAAACTATATAAACACTCAACACATTTACTGGGGTTCAGGGTTAGCCTCGATGAGGAGGAGAATGACTGAATTTCATCAAGATTATCGGTAAAAGAGCTTAGATCACCACCGAGCGGTGGTGGCCCGGTGGTAACGTCACCAAATTATCACTCCGTGGATGTGAGTTCGAATCCCACTACCACTGCCTGATTTTCCCCATTGTGTGTTGAATGGCAGCCCTTTGATTGGCCGCTTCCCCTTCCTAAAAATTGTATCTTTGCATATATTCAGTAAAAGGAAGTAAAAATGAACAGAAAAAAGAAGAAATGGGTTGGCACAACACGACATCATCTGCATATTTCAAAATTCGTGCGGGAGAAACATAGGGAATAAGTGGAAAATAAGTATCGGGATAGCACAACTCCTTGAAGGATACCATAGTTGTTGACTAAGGGTTTCGCTGTGGCCTTCCCCAATCTAGTGGTTTGTACCCTATCGGTAAAATAGTTGGATAGCCAAGCTAACAACTGCGTGGGGCATTCAAACGATTCCAGTTTTTGTAACAACTTAGATCGAGTAATGGAATCAAATGCAGAAGAGTAGTCCAGAAAACCACAGCGAACATACTTAACAGAGCTGTTCAAAGATTTAGTGATGAAATAAATGAGGGTGGAGACTGCGTCCAAGGTGGATCTATTAGGTTTATAAGCAAACTGTAACGGATCACTGGGAATGTTTATAGACTACTGAAGGCGTTTGCGGATGGCCTTTTCAATTTAAAAGCTAAAGATGTTAATGCTATGGGACGAAAACGTTTGGGGAGGATAGAAAATTTGGATGCTTTGGGGATTGGTATGATTGTGACCGGCCTCCAACAGTCGGGGATAGTAGAAGTGTGAAGAGATTCGTTTACCATGGAGGTAATTGCCCAAGATAGGGAAGCAGCACCAAATTTGAACAGGGCTGGATGCCAGTCATCCGGGTCTGCAGCAGATGAATAATTGCAACTAGTTAAAAGTTTTAACACATCACAATATGAGAGCGGTTCCACGTTACAAACATTTTGTGACGAGTAGACAGGAAGAATGATAGCTTTCGTGATTTATCAAGTCACCTCATTTGTACAGTTTCCTTATGGTTGTACGATGTTCAAAACACCTGACTAGTTAACTGATCATTGCAACACGTGCCAGTAAGATTCAAAGATTTATTATGGGAATAACTTACAAGCTCATGCTTTTCTGGTCCCATAGGTTCGTGCGGTGGATTAAGAAACAGTGATACATACAAATCTTTTTGTAAAATATCACGTGATACCTGCTTTTTCCACTGCCTCACGCAGGTTCACTTATGTTGGAATGTAAGGTGTGCTAATGTTTCATCGAGCCTCAGTTTGAAAGACTCAATGCTTGGAGCACAGACGACGTAGGACGGTAGAGAGTTCCAGATCGAACACAGGCTGACTGCGAATGACTGACGCCGGCATTCCAAGCGGCATTCTGAGACCACTAGTTTAAATGGATGTCCTCTAAGATGAACGTTGGGTGATAATTTCAGAAGCGGGCGACACGGATGGCTTGGGTTTTGCATTATTTGGTACACCATAATCATATCTCCTCTGATGCGCCGGTAATTATTGGAATATAACCCCAGTGATTTCAATCTCTCTGCGTATGAACACCGATTCAACCCCCTGAGATCGGGCTGAGTAGAACAAGGGTACCAATAGCAGTTATTCAATGATAAAGGTGTCGGGGAATGAATAATGTAAAGAGAGGCCACAGATATAGAAATCGGGAAACGGAGAAGAGGAATGTAGGTCGTTGTAACTATCGAAAGATCAGTTAAACGAATTTTGGATTTGAATGGTCTTCATGTCACGGTTGAACGTTCCATGGATGAAATCCATGTATTCAGATTTCAGCTAAGAAAAACCGTTACCTAATTATACGATTCACATAATCAAGCTAACGCACATGATTCTCAATTTTAAGCTGAAGACTGAAGTTGGATTTTCGTCACAAAAGTGAACAAAAGCATTAAGTACGATGAACTGACTATTCTAAGGGATGACATGGAATTTCATCATAGGATGAGCGTTAAACTTCTACAGCTTCTTCAATTAAGAACTCGTTATTCACAGCCTATCTGAGATAGTATAGCAAAAAAACAAGGAGAACTATTGTATAGAGTAAATTCGTAATTTTTGGAAGGAAGTGAGAGTTAATTATAATGGGAAAATTGACGAAGCATTGTCAAATTTCTTGCAACTGGGATTCTATGGCTAACTTTGTCAATGAGTACGTACCGTGCAAGTGACCATGAGGCCGGAACGATTGCAGTCAACTCCAATCGGGGTTGAAAAGGTACGGGTGACCGACGTTCTGTAGGAAAGAAATCAAAAACAGTAGACCGTTCGCTATTCGATAGATGTGGGCGCAAACAACGGATAAGTGTAACCATGGACTTCGGACATTTTCCTTTTACGATCGTTAGATCAAGCAGTAGATTAAACTCGTCCAGTAAACCGAAGCTGTCTTTGCATATCTAATCGTCTCTTCAAAAGGTTTATGGCCATCCTCAGCCTAGCTTTGCCGGGGACATTTACGCCTCGAACTCTCGGAACCATAGAGCAGTGTTGGTCAAAAAATGGAAATTTAACAATAGGAAGGTGCCTAAAGGAAATTACAGTTTACGAGCTTAAAGGAGCACCTGGTATCAGATACCTGACAGAGTCCACTCATTCGATGTTTGGAAAAACTGAAGATGGCAATCATTTGTATCTCCCAGGTAGTTTCAGCGTTTTATTGAATACGTTTTACTTACGCTATGTCCGCAAGCAATGTAAAAACGATATTGGCAGATTAGAAATTTCCATTTTTATAGACACCTAGTTCATGTAACTGTGGAACTTATTATTATTGTGACAGACTACTACTGGAAAGGCAGAACATGAATGTTATCAGAAGGCACAGAACAAGGAGGTATCCGTGGGATTACACATTACGTGAGTGGAACAATATGAACCTAGAATGATTGTGTTTGCGATGATTGCAATATTAAACTGGACTAAGAATCGTTAAAAGTAGATAATTTTGTTGATTCTCACGTGTTAGTAAGATGCGACTAATTTAGTGACAAAGATTTGTATGGTATATGATGTGGGCTCAAAAAAGTGATGTGCATTACAATTAGTAATATATGAATGACTCGATAAAATTACTCTGGAGGCACGCCGCCGGTTTCACGGTTTTTACCGCTTGTCAAGCATGCGTATGCGGTAATCTCTCAT